GGGGGACGCCCTCGCGCGCGGGGGCCGCGTGCGGAAAAGTGCGCTCGCGGTGGACCGGCAAGCTGCTCTGGGGGGGAAAGGGTGCCTGCCCAACGCCGCTGCTCTCTGCGCCCGTCGGGGGCCGTCCCCCACGCGTCCCGATCGATCCGCCGGGTCGGCACGCGCGCCGACTCGCGCTCTGGAGTTCCTGTGCGGTGATGCCGCGGGGCCGAACTGAGAGCGACGGCAGAGGGGAACAAGTCGTGGGCACTCCCCACGCGCGGGGCAGGCTGCGGCCGAAGTGCAGTTCGTGCAGCCCACCGCCAGCGTCGAGAGATCATTGGGGGGGTATTGGCAGATGAGTGCGGCACGAATGTTCGCTGTTTTCTTCCGAGGCCTGGACCGCCTGGGCGGCAGCTGCTGCTTCGGCCGGCCAGCACCCGTCCTCGGGCTGGTGCTGCTTCCACGAAGGAAAGGGGTCCTCTGCAAACGGGGTCTTCAGTCTTCTGTGTGTGTGTGTGTTTGGGTTCCCAAGCATCTCCACTGGCCCGGGAATGCAAACAAACAAAGACACGGGATGACTCCTCCTCCTCCTCCTCATCCTCCTCTTCCTCCTCCTCCTCCTCCTCCTCCTCCTCTTCCTCCTCCTCCTTTTCCTCCTCCTCCTCCTCCTCCTCCTCTTGGTTTGGGGGGAAGGCCGAATTCCAGGACCCGCTTCTCCCAGAGGACCCGTTTTGCATTCATGCCAACGTCGTGGATCTGCACGCGGGCTCGCGCTTCGTTGCCAGAGCAGACGTCAGAACGAGAAAACCCACCCCCACCCCCAGTCCCGACGCCCATCCCCGAGCTGGCGATTCAAGGGTTCGGGACTGTCAAGCAGTGGCGAAGGCCCCCAAGCCCGGTCCGGAGGCCGAAAATACGGAACAACCGCCCGTTGTGATTCGGGCGGGTGGCCATGTCCCTCCTTCTCCTCCTCCTCCGCCTCCTCCTCATTCTTTCCTCCTCCTCCTCCTCTTCTCCTCCTCTCCCTCCTCCTCCTATCCGTAACTCCTTCCTCCTCAATTCCCCTCCTTCTCCTCCTCCTCTCCTCCCTCCTCCCTCCTCTCTCCTCTTTCCTCCTCCCTCTGCATCTCCTCGACCCTCCTTCCTCCTCCTCCTCCTCCTCCTCCTCCTCCTCCTCCTCCTCCTCCTCCTCCTCCTCCTCCTTCCTTACTCCTACTGAATGGGGGGGGGACCTGAGAGGCCTCAGAGGGGCCCCTGAGACCCCCTTTTGGGGCCCCTCGTTGGCTCCGAGAGGGGCCCTGCGGCGGGCAGGCTGCGTGTGCCCAGGCCGACCGACCGACCCTGCGATGCCCACAGGGGGGCTCTGGCGCGGGCGGGGGCCCCCGGGGGCGCCCGCAGGCGGCCCCCCCCCCCCCGTGATGCTCCCGGCCGGGGATGCGCCGGGGGGCGCGCGGGGCCTCGTGTTCCCGCCGACGCGGAAGGTCCTGTGGGACAGGAGGCGCCGCCGATTCAAATCGGCACGCCCGAGGTGGAGGAGGAGAAGGTCTACCAGTGCCGCTGCCCTTCGCCCGTTTTCCCCTTTTTCGGCCTCTTCGGAGGCTCTCGTTGTCACCGCTGGATTCGCCTCGAGATTCCGGTCAGAACGCACCCCGGGAGAGGTCCTGGGAGTAGCAGTATCGGTACCTTCTTGGTTTCCCCAGAGAGGTGCACCTTTTATGCACCCGAGGGGTTTGAAAGAGGCCCTCTGGGGCCCTAGCGGTGAACGAAAGGCGTACTTTTCTTTGCCCCTCCCCATGTTCGCCACGAACGAAATGGGTACGGAAAGAATGGGTACAATGCCCAACAGCAGTTCCTGTTCATTTTGAGCAGGACTCGCTGTCCGCGCCGCCGCGGCCTGTGCCCATTTGAGACAGAAGGCCGCCTGCCCAACAGCGGCCGCTGTTGGTCTGGGTCAGCGTTTGTTGTTGGGCATTGTTCAGGAGGAAAAGAAACACACAGACACAATTAATCCTCGATTTCCCAGAAAATATGGGAAAATATGGGAAGTGGGCGGGAAGACAGAAACCCAGAAAATATGGGAAAATATGGGGAATCTTTTTATTTGTGTGTATTTATTTGTGTGTCCTGGGGCCCCTTCAATTGTGCCCAGCTTTTGTCCGTATCCATTTCGGGCGTCCAAAGATTAGGGGGGGGAGGAGAGGCGAGCGCGCCGGAGGCGGCGCAAAGGAGAGAGAACGCCATGGGCATCACAAACCTCGGGCGCTCCGCGCGGACTCCTTGGAGCCGCGCCGGGCCTCCTCCCCGGCGGCGCCTCCGGCGCCGCGCCCTATGGCGCTCCCCGCGCCAGGGAGGGGGGCCCAGCGCAGATTCCAGAAATCCGCGCGGAGCGCCACGAGTCTATGTGGATGGCGATTCTTCCTCTTAGGGCGGAGGGGGGCCTCGAGGCGAGCGCGCCGGCGCCCTCCGCCCGCCGGATCCAGGCGCCCCCAGGCACGCTCACGCCGTGCAAGAGAGGGGTCACGATCGGCGGGTCGTCGGCCGTGTTCGGCCTCCGGGGACCCTCGTCGAGCCCAGGCACGCTGACGAGGGCGGCCCGGGATGGAAAGCCGGCCCTGGGGAGAGGGTCGAGACTGGACTTCATGGGCCCTGTATGGAGCAAATCGAGGCGCTGCACGTCTGGGTTTGCAGCGTTCTCTTGCTCTTCGGGCGCGTTCCCGCCCAGCCTCGGGCTCCTCGGAGGCCCTCACAAGCTGATCCTGCTCGTGGGATGTTGCACAGATACGGATTCAGGGGCACTGGCTCTGCATTTTGAAACCTGTGCCTTCTCGCTAGCGACGTCAGGTCTCTGGAGGTACTGGTGCCCTTCACTCGTTTTCGCCGTTCTGGGCATCCTCTGGTGGCCTTGTCGCTGCGGCTGGATCTGCCTCGAGATTCTGGTCTGGGCGCACCTTGAGAGATCCGGTGAGCAGCGCTGTCAGTTCCCTTCCCCATGTGGACGCCAGGTTTTGCCAAGAGCCCGCTCGGAGGAGGTTGAGGAGGCTTGCGAGGAAGAGGAAAAGGAGGAAAAGGAGCAGGAGGAGGGGGAGGAGGAGGAGGAGGAAGAGCGGGAGGAGGAGCAGGAGGAGGAGGAGGACCAGTGTAAACCCAAGACTCGTCAACGATATTGCAATACACCCTCCCTCCAAGTTCCTTTTTCACAGGCCCCTACATGGATTCGTTCCCATTGAGGGAAATGCCCCCTTGGAAGACAACCGTTCGAAAATTTGGAATTATGCCAGAATGTCGTTTCTGGGGCTTCAGCGCCGCGAATCACCGTTACTGTTGCGTCTTGACGATCTTGAGCCGTGCCAGAATACCGTTCCAGTGACTTCAACACCGCGAATCAACGTGACTGTTACGTCCTGGCATTCCGGCATAGTGCCAAGACGTTATTTAATCGCTTCGCTCATTCCGCCGGCCCTGGAGCGCTCTTTGGGGCCTCTTCGGAGCCTCTTGGGGGCCTCTTGGGGGCTTCTTGGCGGCGTCTTAGGGGGCCCCTGGGGCCTCTTGGGGGGCTCTTGGGGGCCTCTGGTGGTGGGAGGGGGAGGTAGTCGATTGCGGCCCCCCCCTCGGAGGCCACGATCCTCGTAAGTGGTGTCGAAAAATGGCCCTTCCCTGGGGCGTTCTGGGGGGATCGCCCGGGAGTGGGCCGGGACATAGCCGGGGTACTTTTCGTCCCGGGGCCCCCAGGGGCCACCCCGCGCGCGCGAACTAGAAATATTGTGAACAGTTACCAGAGATTGCACGCCTCTGGCCCGTTGGGCCTGCGAATTTCTGACACGTTAACCATGATAATATTTGAATAGATTGCGATATCTTAAGTCGAAGGTGCGCGGCGCTACGGCGAGAGCAACATTCTGAAAAGGAACCGCCCTCCATCCGTGAAGTTCTTGCAAACTTGTGCGACGAGTGTGTGCGGCGCTGAGGCGAGAGCCTCATTTTGAACAGGAGCCGCCCTTCATCCGTGAATCTCTTTCAATATTTTGAAACATGCGCGCGGCGCTGAGGCGAGAGTTAGAATTTGGAATCGAACCGCCTTCCATCGTTGAAACGAATGCAAATTCTTTACGCTTCGCGTATCCCCACCAGCCCATCTCACAGCAGCAACTCTTGCGAAGCATGCCGACAGTCGTGTTTTTCAGGCGTGTGTCCGCTTCCCGCGTCGTGGTGTGAGTCGTTCGGGCTCCTCGTGGTGTGAGTCGTTAGGGCGCCTCGTCCTGGTGTGAGTCGTTCGGCTCCTCCTTGTGGTTTGTGAGTGTTCGCGGCTCTTCGTGGTGTGAGTCGTTCGGGCCCCTCAGTCCTGGTGTGAGTCGTTCGGGCTCCTCGTGGGGTCGTTGGGGCATCCTGAGCCTCTTGGGGCCTCTTGGGGGCCTCTTGGGGGCCTCTGGGGGGCCTCTTGGGGGCCTCTTGGGGCCTCTTGGGGCCTCTTGGGGGCCTCTTGGGGGCCTCTTGGGGGCCTCTTGGGGCCTCTTGGGGGCCTCCGGGGGGCCTCTTGGAGGCCTCTTGGGAGCCTCCTGGGGGCCTCTTGGGGCTATCTTGGGGCCTCGTGCGACCTCCTTAGAAGCGCCAATGAGAGCTGCCCCCTGAAAAGGACAAAATGAGCCCAAAACCTTTGTAAAATCAATGATTTTGCTATGAAGGAAGATGAGCGCGGCCCCCTCAGAAGGCCAAAATGGGGCCGAAATCGTAGTAAAATCAATGTTTTTGGCTTCACAGAAGAGCAGAGGGGCCAAACTCCGTCCCCCCGTCGGGGCCAGAATCCTCGTGAGGGTCGTCGTTTTTTAGCCCTCCCAGGAGTCGAAAACGACCTCCCTGACGACGCTCGGCCCGCCCTCTCCAGGCCCAGGGGGAGGGGGTAGGGGGAGGGGTAAACCCCTCCCCGAAGGGGAAGTTGGGGGGTTGAGAACAGAGAGGGCTCTCTAAACCACTCACGCCCAAAGGGCTGGTGGGATTTCAAGCTGCAGGCTCATGCTTTGTGAGGAAGTCTCAGGCGAAACGCTTGGCCCCGCCCTTTCGACCGGCCTCGGGGCGCGACAAGGAGGAGAGATTTGCAACGAAAAGGATTTGAGGATGTGGAGGAGGAGGAGCAGAAGGAGGAGGAGGAGGAGGAGGAGGAGGAGGAGGAGGAGGAGGAGGAGGAGGAGGAGGAGGGAGAGGGGGGAGAGGAGAGGGAGGGGGAGAGGGAAAAAGGGGAGGGGATGATGATGACCGGAGGAGGATGTGTACCAGTATCGATCTTTCTCTGTTGCCCCAGGTGCCGCGATGCCCCACGGCAGCTCTGCATCGACCTGTGGCAGCCCGCGGTCGAGGCTTCGCAAGCGGCGGCGCCACAAGAGATCCATCGGTCTCGGCATGAGCCTTTCTCGAGGAGGGTTCAGGCCGGGACCGATGGATCTTCGTGAAAAGAAATCCGGGGGTTCATCGTTTTTATTCACCACCACCGTGATGTCATAGACCATAGGGTGCTTGGGGGCAATCATTCGCGACCGAACGCGGCCGCCATCTGCGCGCATGGCGCGCAGGATTTGTTCCTTTCGTATGGTCGCCTGGTGGTGGTGTATCTACTGGGGCCCCGCTTCTTCCGCCACAAAAGCAAGACGCACAGGCACCCTCCACTGGATTGCTCCCTGGCCCCAGGGGATGGTGGCGTTGTATAAACCACCGCTGCGAGCCAGGCGCTTCTCTACGCAGGGGGGTGCATGCCGAATTCGTGGGAGGGCGTCTGTGCACACACGCTCGTGGCGTGCCTTCCCCCATGAGCCCTTTTCCCGTCCCCACCTCCCGCCCCAGCCGCTAGATCCAGCAGTCCCACGTACCCAGCCAGCAGGTCTGGCGTGACCCTGGTCGAGCCCACCCTCCGGGCTTCTGCCTCTGCTCCCACACCCCTCTCCTTTTCGGTCCCCCCCCCCCCCCCCCTTGAGCACTACTCCTCACCATCATACAGTCGGCCATTTGATCCAGAAGCCTCTTCCCGAAAAGCTGGGACAGCCTTTCTTGGCCACCTTGCCGGAAAGGTGGCTCCGTTTCTTGAGCACGGTGGCCCTTCCAGCGTCCATGACAGATATTGGTATTGGCCCCGTGTCTGGTTTAAGAAACCTGCGAGAAGCTGGCCAGGTTCTCGATCACACGTTCGGATGCAAGCGCGCATGATGCGGATGAGAAGTGTCCCCCACGTGCGCTTCGAACTACCCTTGCCTCTTGGCCCCATCCGTAGCAAATGCCGTTGGCAAGCTCGGCCCGGCACCTTCTGGGCGGGCTGCGTCTTCGGGCGGCGCGGTGCGACGCTCTCGTGGAGCGGGGCCCCGAGGGGGGAGGACGGGGAGGGAGAGGCGAGGGAGGAGAGGAAGGAGGAGGAGGAGGAGGAGGACGGAAATGGAAGAGCAAGGGAGGAGGAAGAGAGGAGGAAGGGGGGAGGAGGAGGAGGAGGAGGAGGAGGAGGAGGAGGAGGAGGAGGAGGAGGAGGAGGAGGAGGAGGAGGAGGGTGGGCAGAGGTTCCGTGGCAGTCCTCTGTCCCTCGCGGCCCTAAAAAGGACGCGGAAGTAGCAGGGCGCACGCGTGGCCACCCCGGGGCGCGCCGGCCCCCGCCCGCCCCGTCCGGGTGCCAACGTGGCCATAGGATGAAGTCGGGCACGTCCCTCTACGCGGACGTAATCCGAAGATAGCCAAACAATAGTTCTCGGGGGTGGACAGAACCCCCAACAGTGACACGTCGATTAGTGATTTGTCCTTTTTCGGTTTTCGAGAGGGCGCCGCGGCCGTTATTTTCCAGGCTCGCGCCCGCCAGGTTTGGGCCTCGGGTTGTTTTCACTAAACCACGTTTTACTAAAGGGAGGTCTGTCCATCCCCGAAGTTCGAGGATTCTTTTCCTATTATTTTTGTTCATTCGTTTTGAATAGTATTTGGTTCGTCTTTTACTGCGAAGGCCTCACGGCCAGCGCCGCCGACCCTGAAGGAGGACGTTTACGACGGCGGCGGCGTTGGCGGCGGCGGCGACGACGACGCTGACGTGGGCCCGAGTCCTCAGGGATGCTTCTTGGGGTCTCTTGGGAATGCTCGCGGGGGCCTCCGGGGAGAAATTTTTGGGTTTCTTGGGAGCCTCTTGGGGGCCTCTCGGGGGCCTTTTCGGGTGTCCTGGGGGCCTCTTGTGGGCTTCTTGGGGCCTCTTGGAACCTCTTGGGGCCTCCTGGGGGGTTCTTGGGACCGCGCGGGGACCGCGCGAGGGTTTCGGAATCGCGCTGGGGGAAAGCGTATCTGGGTGGCGACCCTCCCCCAGCGCGGGACACCCGTAGGACCCCAGCGGGGCAACCCCGGGCCCCCCCCCCCCAGCGCGGGGAAGGGATCAAAGGGAAGTGGTTTCCTTTCGATTCGACTCCTGTGACTCGTTTTCGTTTTTCCTCCAAAAGCCGCCTGTGGGAGGACATGCCCGGCCGAAGCCTGCAGGTGCGAGAGGGGCCGGGGACCTCTGGTTTCTCTCAGGCGCGTCGTCCTTGTCCCTCCGCCTGCGGGCGGGCGTGGCATGGCACAGTGCCGTGGGGTGGGCGCGCCCGGGGATGCCTCGGGGCGCGTCGTCCCCGCCGTCGCACTCGCGGGCGGACGGATGCCTGCGCACGCGGGGCCGGCACTGGGCGTTCGGCCACCCCCTGGGCGGCGTCGGCGCGAGTCGCCAGCGCCCCCGCCGTGCGTTTGGGTCTGGCGGGCGCAACCCCCGCGATTGCGCCCGGGCAGGGATGCCACTGTTTCATCACACGCTTCTTTTTTGAATCACAAGCTGACCTTACGAGGAGGAGGAGGAGGCGGAGGAGGAGGCCAGGCCAAGCATTGTCGGGATCTCTGGGCCCTGCGTTGTCCCGTTGTTGCCCCCGTGGGGAATTTGCAGGTTGACATGCAACTTCGAGTGCACGTCGACATTTACATCGGACAACAAGTCGGACTTCACATCTGATTGTGCAACATGCCTCACAGCGGACCCCACATCGAACAGCCATGCGAACCACACAGCGGCATGCCAGTCGAGTGCGCCTGAATGGCACATCGAAGTGCACGAATCCAAGTGCAACCGACATGGACTGCCGGTATCGAATTCGAAACGCAAGTCGACATGCACGTCAGTGGACCTGACACGTCGACATGAAATTACAACGGCATTCGAAGTGCGCAGCGAAATGAGAGCCGAACCATGTTCGAACTGCACATCGAAATTCACATGTAAGTGCACATCGGCAGCACGCTCGAACTGCAAAGCGACGTTCAAATCCAAATGCCTTCGACCTGCAAGTCAAAATGCAATCGAAGCACGTCTCGATACCAACATCGAATTGCCTTACTGACTCAAGGACTCAGAGATCATCAACCACATGATGCAACTCAGTATCAATATCTTGCGCCTGCAGGAACAAGACGTCCCAAATCATAAGGCTTTGAACACGATGGGCATTATGTTGTATAACCAGGGGCAGACACGTGTGACCCGACATGGGCAGGCGTTGGGTTCGTCGTGGCGCCGTCGCACTGGCAGAGAAAACGGTCTTACAAACAAATTTCAGACAGACTTGTACTCCTGAACTTGACGGTCCGTGCCGGCTCATTCGGTATCCTTTTGCTGTAGCGCGCCGCACAACGAGAGACCGCTGGAAGAGCGCAGGGCTTCCTTTTTTTTGTTTGGACGCAGAGTGCCGCGCCTGCTATGCAAACCGCGGGAAGATCGGTGTCGGCGACTTGAGTGGAAGGCTCGGGCACGCGGGCGCGGGCGCGAGGCCGGCGTGATCGGGGAGCACAAGTGGGGGGCCCGCGGGCCCTCCATGAGGTCGGCAGCCCAAATCGTGAGTTGCCCGTGGAGACGTGCACGGGGCTAGTTCTGAGAGTAGCTTTGTGGAGGACGATCAATGGAGAGGAAGCGGACATGAATTGTAAACAAAAATAAAATATAAAGCAGGTATACAACATGTTCATTACATTTTCCGACATTTAAGCGCATGTTTAGTTCGATGATAGGACTGTTGGGGTGTCCATTGACGTGGCAGCCACAAAAGTAGCTCATACATGCTTCGACAGACCTCGCCACGAGAAGATCACATCCATGGGGGCTGGAGTTCTCCCGGACGGTGGCATCACCTCAGGCAGGTACAACATATTGGATCGTTGTCCTTGGCATCGACGCGGTACTCAAATCCCTGCACGACGTGAAGAGTCACCGGGGACTAGCGTTGGGGACAGGCCATCACCTTCTTACGTGTTCATTCGGGGTTCGCTTTCCGCGGGCCGCCACAAGGAATGGCCGCCGAAAAAAAAGACAGACGCCCTACGAGTTCCACAGACAGAGAAGATATTTGCAGACGCTTTTCTGGCAGCTGTCAACTCGTTTCGTGCACCCGCCTCCACGGTTGACGAAAACTGGCAATGCGGGGAACTGGCAGCTCGTGGACGCGGCCGGGATCATGCCATAACGCTTTCCGGATATTCAGAAACCGTGGACTTCTCGAACGACTTTGGACCTCATTTCACGGATAAGCAGTGCACGAACGAACAATGACAAACACGGAGAGAGGATCTCAATGAAGGAGGATCGGCGATCTGCTAAGACCGACAAAAGTGCCTGGCTCGACGAGACAATCTGGAGCGGCAGTTGCGAGGCCGTTCGAACATATGGTCGCCCAAAGCGGAGCCGACAAGAAAGCTGCGAAATTTGGATGGTAGGCTGGTGGGCAGCGAGGAGCGCGCTGACGCCATGGCATTTTTTTTCGGAACAAGTGCAATGGACAGTGCGCTTTGCAGAGGCGACGGACAGCGCCCCCCTGGGTCTGTCAGCGTCCGAAGCTCCGTTCATAAACCAAGAAGTTGGCAAAGCTGTGAGTAATCTGAAGTGGAACACATCTTCCGGGCCAGACGACGAAACTAAAACGTGGAAAAACTTCCGGGCCAGACGACGCCCCGGCGGAATATTGGACGGCTGTTTCGACAACGCCGGTTGGGTTATAATTGCTCACGGCGCTGTGCAACGCGCGTTTGGAGTAAGATGAGATCCCGGCGCAATGGGAGTTGGCGGCGATCAGCACCATTTACAAAGGCAAGGGAGCAGTTGACCAGTGCGGCAACTATGGGCCGATCAGCTTGGCATGCGTTGCGTACAAGCTATGGGCGAGCCTCTTGTCGGGCCGACTGCAGGCCGCTGGCGCCGACGAGCGACTGACTGGAACGCAGTTCGGCTTCCGGAGGGGGAGAGGTACGACAGATGCGATTCACGCTGCCAGGAGGTTCACCGACCGTGCCAATGCCGAGGAGGACGGGGCCATCTCGATGGTCGCCTTCAGAA